TTACCAGAAGTAAATCATGAAAGTTTACATTGAATATTCAGAAATGGCATGATTAAGTATTTTTCTTTCACCAACTCCACAACACTTAGTTTCCTATTTAACGAGGAATCTACGGATTAATTTAAAGATTCCTATTACTTCTGGCAAGTACTTCAACAAGTACTAAAAGAAATCAGGATATGTTACATTAATGGTAAGATAGGGAGAAATTGAATGTGTGACTTCTCAAGACTATTTAATAATAGCGCACTCCGTACGTGCGGTTGTTTTGGAAGCCCTGTACGAGGGCGAGAGCTGGGCTCGTGCGGGGGACCGCAGAGGGGAAGACGAGAGGAGAGGGCGCGAGTGCCTCCGGCCCACTCCTTTAACGCTCCCCCGCGAGCGCTGCCTCAACGCAGCTCAAGACCTTCGCGGATGCGGCGATGTATTTTTGGAGAACTTGAGAGATTTCTAGGAGGATGCTGCGAGAGTACACGAGTTCGGACTTGTTTTCTGTAAAATATAACTGTTTAAATTGTCCATTTTATTTCTTAATTTTCTTTAGTAGTTTAAATTCATCTTATCGTGTGCAGCGAGAAGTGTAATGTGATAGACAGGCTTTCAAAGCTTAAAAAACTAATTCCTTGTCAATTAATGGTAAAGAATGTTAGAAACATCTGTTTACCATTTAATTAGTCACGCTCTGAATCAAAAATAAATGCGATGATCACATTGAACCAGTTGGCGAGTGTTGCTGAAATACATGAAAGAGACGAAAGACAAAAAAAGACAGATTCAGAAGTCGTATTAAATAGAAACACATAATATGAGTTGCTTTTTTTCCCTTTTGTATTTGTTCTTTGCTTTGTGGCAGGATTGTTTCAATTCATCCAGTGATGTGATTTCCAAAGCGCCGATTTTGAAGTTCGACATTTTTCTTACATGAGGAATGATATTTATCAATGCGATATACAAGAAAAGGATCAAATATGTTTGTGTTTTAATAATGAAATAATACTTAGTCACGAAATTTCACGTTTGCTCGGTGTTGTGGTTTTACCCTTATCAACACATTCTTTAAAGGAATAGCTGTGAGCCCTGCGTGTCAGCTGTCATGTGGAACGTGGAACGGCGGTGGGCGGGGCGAGTGATGAAAAAGGCGGCGGTGACAGATGCCAGCGGGCGCGTTGCCGCATCGTGAGCAAGAAATGTTATATCTGATGATCACGACCCAAGCTCATGTGCTCACCCCGCTTACCTCACCTTCCGTCGCTTTGTTGCAGGGTTCATATCCCAGTCAGTCCTTGTAGACTCGGTGATGGGCGAAGCGGGGTCAGACAGGGTTTATCGAGCTCCTATAGTTTTCTATGCCGGTCATTCATTCCATCATCCTTTCGTCTCCATTCATAGAGCAGCATCATCACCATTCATCAAACTATTCATCTCAGTACTGACCTAAAGGTACTGAGGGTCATAGATCAAGTTATAGACATACGACTACACATTGTACTTTTCATTTTTTGTAATAATTTTCTCGGGAACCCGACAAGTTACATTTATCAATTTGCCGTCCTGCATTTGTATTCGCTAGCGTTAAGTTCACAAAAGGTGCTGCGACATCTGCACAGTGAAGTAGTACGAGTATTGCCAGATCGTTACCCACGCCCAGCAAAGAATCCCAAGGAAGACACATTTATCTCCCCGTGAAGTACTTTTGCTCCGCGTGTTTGACACTATCGGTGGGAGTTCCTCGCGGGGGACGTGCGGGGGCGGGAGCGGAGGCGGCGAGGAGCGCCGGCGTCCAGCGGCCAGCGGGCGCGCCGCCGCGCCGTGGGCCGTAGGTCGGGAGCGGGGGCGCGCGCGCGGGGCTGCTATCTTGGGCGCGCAAGTGACAGGTGCGCATTCCCAGCCCACTCTAATTAGACGCGCGCGCCGTCGCGTGGCGTGGCGTGGCGTCGCGAAGCGGGGTGCGGGCGGTGCCGTGCGGAAGCCGGTGCGGGCGGAGGGCGGGCGGCAGGGCGCGGGGGCGGCGTGGGGCGGCGTGCTGCGTGGGCGGCGTGGGGCCGTCGTGGGGCGCGCGCTGGGCGGCGTGCGGCGGGGCCGGGTCGGGCGACTGGGCGCGGACGGGACGGTGGCGGGCGGGCGGGGTGGCGCGGGGCCAGGGCGTGCGGCGGGGCGGCGGCGTGGGGCGGGGCCGGTGGCACGCGCGGTCATAACGTCGCGGCGTTACGGCGCGCGGACGTTTTTTATTGGACGCGCTCGCGGCTTTTTCCGGAGAGTCGCGGGCGGACGGGCAGAGAGAAAGTTATTGAATGCGTTGCCATCGTTACGCACAACTTTTTGGGAAACGTGCAGATGAGTGCAGATTAGATTCCCGGTGCGCTTTGCCAGGCTAGGGGACCATTCGTCTGGCTGATGACGGAGTCTGAAGGCGGCGTCTTTCGTTTGTTTTCTTGAAATATCTGCTAGATTGAGAGTTAGTTCTCCAAGCGATATTATGCAAATTTCACCCTGATTTCATTACTGCCCTATAAATTGATTTCTTGGATTGTACCAAAATCAAAAGATATACTGAGCTCTGTCGACGGGAAGTTTGTAGTGGTGCATCCTACGGACGTTTCTCCAGGGAAAACGCCTCTCTCATCCAAGATTCCAAACTCTATAATTCGGGCATACGAATGGTTCAAATTGTTTGCTGAAAAGGCCATGGCAAAATATCATAGCATCATTAAGCTACGAAACAGTTCTGCAAGACCACACTTCGTTCATGGCTTTCGTTCACTTGCCGCTAATGCGATTATGGAGATGGACATGACGTTAATCGTAGATTCTCTCTTCAATCGTAAAAGAGGAAATGGTGTGTTTGACATTAGTAAATAATTGATTATTTTCGTAATTATGTTACTGGGCATGTATTGAATTTGGACCCGCTACTTCACATCCAGCTTCCGCTAGATGAGACCATATTTAGTCACGTTGTTTCTCAGTTGGGTTCCGAAGTTTGTCTAATTTCAAAAGCAGCTATTGATATGTTCGTGTCGTGGTTACATTGTGCCGCATCAAGGACCAACGTGCTCATTATTGCCAACAAGGAATCTTTGTTTCAATTTTTTTCTTTTTTCAAGTCAAGAGAGTGACTACCCATTGAAGATTGAATAAATAATTGATAGAGCCACATGTTTCCATTTACGGTATTCATGTTCACAGAGAGATACCTGTATCACTTTCGATAGAAATCCATTTCCAGCGCCTCCAGCTAATAATTTCCTCCCCGGCCTGAGATCCGAAGGCTAAGGCGGCTTGGAGCCCCAAGGTGAGTGACGAGGGGCCTCCCCGCTTCTCCCGGGTGCCTTCCCTGAGGGGCGGAAGCCACTGCGGTGTTTGCGTAAGGGGAATGTCGAATCGAGCGAAGCCGGCTCACAGTAGACCGAAAGCGCGAGAAACATTTCTAATTTCGAACATTAAACGGGAATATATCTTTGGAACGTTCAAGCTAGGTGCGTCGTAAAATAAAAATTGAAATATAAAAAGCTTCGATTTCGTTTTAGTTTTTCTGAATGTTCTGTTTGCGGACGTAAGAATGTTTTGTAGTCCCTGTGGAAGTTATATTGAAAAGCTATTTATCAATTATGGTTACGTGCCAAGTATGCTTTCCTGAAGAAAAAAGTTATTTTTTTTCGGAAATTTGCCTTTGAGTGTGCATTCGTCAGTACGATCAGGCTCTTCATATGGGCTCAATTATTTTTTATAAATGTTGTAATTAATAGCACCGTCACGGAAACCTTGGTTAGGAATACCATCATGTTGTCCAAAAAAATCGAATCTTCTGAAGTAACAACCTTTAGCTATTTACTTTACATCTTTCTTTTATTCCTTTTCCTTTTTTCTTCTCCCCCCCTTCTTTTTCTTTGCTTTCTCCTGTTATAGCGCGCGCTTCTGCCCATTTGGGGCCGGAGGCGCACTCGCAGCAGGGATGGGGCGAGGGCGAGGTGAGGGTGAGGGGCGGAGAGGGGCGGGGACGAGGGCCTGTGAATCCACGCCTCGAGGGAAGCCTCTGTAGCGGGCGCGTTAGGGGAGGAGGAAGAAGAGACGACGCGCTGAGATGGCACTGGGCAAGACTGAGATTGGGGCGCATACCCAGTTCGAGAATGCGTTTTCCTACTTACAGAGATATGGGTTGTTGCATGTTCAAAAATAAGTTTAAATTCCAAAACTGTAGCATTGGTCTTACTACTACGCTTGTACTGAATATAGTGAATATTTTCCAGAACTTTTTAAAAAATCCGTTACTTGCTTTCAACACTGTTTGTGAGACTTATATGAACACTAACATGGAGAATTCTCCTTTAATTAGCCAGTCATAAGTTACATGGAGAATTCACCTTTTTGTAGTCAGGCATAAGTGCACATGGAGTAATTCGTCCTTGAACGTAGTCGCGTTTTTTTTGTCACGCCATTTGATTTTATTGCGTATCGAACCAGGTTTCTCGGCGCCTTTAGTATCCGGATTCCCACAAACGGTCGCCCATCAGAGACCCTCTGGGACTCGAGCTGCCTAACCTACGGAGAGTTCACCGAATTGCAGGCTAAGCAAGTTTAGGACGCCGAAAGTGGTCCCCCGACTTCATTTAAAATTATTGGAATTGTGTTGTTGAGAAAATATTTACATTTTGTCTACAACGTGACGTACATTAAATTCGCCTTGGTAGTGTAAGTGGCCAGTGAAGTTCTGCGTCCTTGGACGTTCGATCATATTTACTTGTATTTTAACAAGGTCAATAGTTTAAGATAACAGAACTGACTATTTAGAAGAATTATTTTGCAGGAGGCTTCGTGGATGCACTGTGGAGAGAATTAAGAGATGACACACCTTTCCGTTCTTTATAAGCTGATGGTAGCGAATAGAAACAGTGGTTGCTTATGCACCGAAGTGACAAATGAAGATCCGGGGGGCGGGGGATCGCGAGCGATCGGACCGGGGGCGTCCGCACACGCAGCCGCCGGCCGCCAAAGCAAACATTCTAAATTTGCCGCGACGCCCCCAGGGTGGGGCGGCTGCGTCGGGCGGTGTGGGCGGGGGTTGGGCGGAAGCGAGCAGTGGTGGAGTGGGGGTGCTGGGAGGGTTGGGCGTGGGTGAGAGGCGACGAGGGGTAAGTTGTAGGCGCACGGGGAGACTGGGCGGAGCAGAGGCTAGCGGCAGGGGACGGCGTGAGGTGGGCGGGGCGACGCGTCACGCGGGGATGGATGGGGTGGTGGGGGCGTTCGACTCTCGCACCGGGATGCGGCCCCCTCCCGCCCCCTCCCGCCCCCGCCCCGCCCCCGCCAATTCGCGGCGATTGCGTCGGAGCCGCAGTGCCGTTGGGAGGTCCTTTGTACTCCCGTTCCGGCCCACCTCCCGCCAGATGGACCGTGGGAAGCATCTGGAAGCCAGGTGGTTGGGAATTGTCCCAGACCAAAGCAGAATCTTTGCTCCGATGGGCAAATTCAAGCCCACTGTTTAAAAGTAAAGCAACGAAACTTAACTTCAATGGCTTACAGCTTAAAAGAATTTGAAATAAACTCGGTGATGTTTGTAAAGCTAGCAGACAAATCATTTTGGAACTAGCAGACAAGAAAAAAATAAATTCAAATAAAAAGAATAAAAATAATTCAAAAAAGTTATTGCAGACTACGATTCCATTTGGAAAGAAGAACTAACTTTGGATTGAATTATAACAGTAAAACCTAATTCCAGCTCCTATTTTACGTTTTCTCAGTCTTGTTTTCCGAACTGAAATAAAAACACTAAAAACGCTGAATGTTCACGATGTGTCTATAAGTATATCGGTTTTGTTAAAATTATTATGTATATTCTTCTATATCTAGAAAAGCTTTTCGAAGATCACAGAAATGACTTAAGATAAAGATGTGAATACTTTATGAGAAAAAATTTTATCCGGCATTATTGTATTTTTTCGGTGGGTAATAGTTCATTTGTTAGTAAATGTTCACTTAGATGTTAAAATATCTGGGCATTTCACGTATTCTGAAACAAAAAGTGGAGTTTTATGTTGTTTACTGGTTTTCACTTGAATGTAATTTATAGTCGTCGCTGCATACTAGTTATTTAATAATAACCTGTTATTTCTGATTCCCATTTCCACCTCAGAACGTCGACTGCAACATGATACACGGCTTTGAAGACGGGATTCCGTGTGAAAGGGCGTGATTTAGTTGAGAGTGTCGTTCACTTATTTATAGTGGAGCATCGCCTCCAGTGCTGCGGGTTGGGGGGGGGGCATTCCTGCGAAGGCGGCAGCGCACAAATCGATATCGTAGCACGTGCGTACACGCGGCGTTCGCAAGACTGTGGGTGATTAGACTAACGCACTCATGTACAACGTTATACAGAACATCCGTGCTTTAGAACGCACGAATGTAGTGTGTTGCTACTCTGTAAATGATGACGAAATTTTTGATTATCGAAAACGCGATGGATTATTTGTGATTATTTCTAAAAGTCAATCTGATTGTTGTTCTCAACACTCCGATATCAACGTGTTATTGATTTCATTTAAAGTGTCGTTCACATTTGCTGTTTAGATATCATACTTAAATAGAATTATTGGATGGCAAATTCTAATCCATTCTTATAAGATTAGAAAATTAAACTTTCTCTATCCTGTACTGCTTATCTGAAATTTGAGATTCGATAAAAAACTAATTGATTCATTATTACGATCACTGTCCATTGTTTGGAGTCTCATAAATTTGATGATAACACGGTTTATATCTTAACAGCTTATCTCGTGTGTAGTTAAGATTTCGATAATGAACTAAGCGTTCATTCACCTTATTTCGTTTTGTCTGTTTTTCGTTACAGTGTCTCTGACACGTACGCACGTCTATATCGGTTGGTGTCTATCTGCTATCATTATTTAAACGCAAAATATTATTGTATAATATTCGTATTTCTATTACAAAAGTAGTTTTTAACAATTATTTCCAAGCCACTTCTGGTATTTTACGTAAACAAAATGGAAACGTTGAGTTCAAGAGCAATGAATGGGTGTGTCCCTTTAATCGGCTCTTGAGTCTTCCACCTGCTGTACTTCTCGTGCGTCATGGGAAAATCCGCCACAGTTTTACTTAGATCGATACGTAATGTGGACATGATTCTATTAATGTACTCCCGATATACGATTTAGTGAAGTTTGAAAATAAAATTTAAAGCAAAAACATACTATTTTATGAAATATGTTCAGACTATTCTCCCCTTTTAAGCTGTCACTTTAGGAAATTGTTGTAATTGGAGAGGAGGCTCTCCAAGCAATCTATCAAATGTAAATTGTTTAATAATCAATTATATTTATTGTTAATTAATACATGTAGAATATTAATGATGCTAATACAATTATAATATTTTCAATATTTTATATTATAAAAAAATTGAATTATTTAATTAATGATACAATAATTGTAATGATATAATTATTTTATCATTAAATAAATAGTTTAATTTGCCTTGGATGTTTTATTAACTTACTAGAAAAATATATTGTATGAAAAATACAAAAGTGCAGTAGAAAAGAAATGTAGTTGATGGCGCCTAATGCTCTAGGCTGCGCTCGCCCATGATTAATTCTCTCAATGTGAGATCCACCGCAGGGAGCTGTCTTCTCTGCACTCGACAGCTCTGCCCCTACGAAACCGCTGTCCCCCCACTCGTTTCGAGGTCTGCCCTCCGCCCCTAGTGACAGAATGGCATGCCTGTCACTCGCAGCGGTCAGCCCTTCACACTCTCTCTCGCGCGCACACACTCATACACACACTTCACAAACCAATCGACACACACACACACACACACACACAAGGGAATTCCATATATATGTCGTTGTTTCCATTTAAATGTCTATGTTTTTAACATATATAAGACCATTTTTTAACATCCATTTTCAGTGATCGATGTTTTCCGTTGAAAATATTGTTTATTTGTATTTTAATAAATGTATTGTAATAAAAATCGTTGTATTATTCTAACAGCAATAGTCAATCGATCATTCTTGCAGACCAAAGGGGCCATGGATGTTTACCTTATTTAATCTGGCAATGAAAGTGTAATTGTTCTCATTATTTTTGCCTTTTTCTTAAACAAATTTTAATTTTTCATTAATAAACTCGAATTTCGTATTATCAAATACCTCTATCGCGCGCCGATTCATGTTAGAGGTTGCTAAATTATTGAAACATCGAAGGTTTATTGCGATTTCGTATCGTCGGCATACATACATACACACACACACACACACACACACACACACACACACCAACACACCAACACACCAACACACCAACACACCAACACACCAACACACCAACACACACACACACACACACCAACACACACACACTGAACCGCGCGCGTGCTCGCAAGGGGCGTTGGTGAACTCTCCCAACAATCGTGCGTCGCTTCGCGCCTGCGCCCTCAGCAGCAACAAACTCCGCGGCAGAGCGCCTGGCTGTCAACGCGGCGGCGCCATCCACGGGACATAGGCCAACATCCTCGCAGCCGCTCATCGAACGCACGGACCGCCGACGCTCTCGCCCTCCCAGCTGGCGGCGCGGAATTTCTTTGCGGCTGGCACTGGCGTGCCAGGAAGGATAATAAATCCCGTGAAAATGTATCGCACTATTTCAGACGCTACATGAGAAAGTATTTGTTAAATTTATGAAAGCACTGCGTTTGAAACGTATTTGTGTTTGTGTATGTGAATGTGAGAAGGTGCTAGAGATATGATATTGTTTATTAATCGCCGCGGCCAGAGTCATGTGAAGGCTCTCGGCTGTCCGGGTGACCGGAAAACCACGGGATGATGGTCGAAACGTCGGCATCACCCGGACAGCCGAGGGCCTTCACATCCGTTCTTTGCCAGTGCGAAAACGGTAATAGAAATCGTGGTATGAGCGCAGCCAGACGAAGGACGTCTGCGTCGTGAGGGTGGGTGTGGCGGGCGGGCGCGCTTACCGGCATCTTGGAAGAAAGCGGTTGCGACGAAGTGACAACAAAACACGAGCGCTGGGCGCTGGACGGCTGCGACCGCGTCGAGTGGAGTGCGAACGCCAACGGCGACCACCAAGCGACTGCTGCGCGCCGCGCGCGCCGGCTGGCTTTTAGGCGGGAGCGGGGCGCACCGCGCGCGGGGCGGGGAGGGGTGTGCGGGGCGGCCGCCGACGCCGACGCCCGCGCCGCTGGGAAAAACCGCCACCCGCCACCCGCCCGACGCCGACGCGCAGTGAGGAATTTGCCAGATCTGAAGGGCGAAATTCGGATTGCATTTCATGGAATGTCTAGTGACTGATAACACCGTGTATGGACACTAGGTAAAAGTAAGTTCAGCTGAAAGACTTTTTGGTGTCAGTGAGAAATGCTTGTGTTTCGAAAATAGACACGTTGTGTAAACTACATATAATTATATTTTACCTTGTTCTTTCAATTCATTGATATGTATTTTATACTGATTTTCGTAACTACATTAAAGCATAGCTAATGAAATGGGTGTTGGCTAAAGATCATAATTTTTTTTTAAATTGAAAGTCAAGTGTTTCTGAAATTATGCTCTTGTTGTTTGTGGATTGACTTCTTGTTGTTAAGACCACGAAATCTCTTTGATTTTTGCTATTCGGTAATTTTCGACGTATTTTTGATAAGTAAATATGTTTAAAATATTCGTGTACTAGTACGTCGAGTATCAATATATCTTCTCCACTCAGAATATTTTTTTTAGTCTAGGTGATAGTGTAAGTTCGACTTTTACAAATCACTCCCCGCCAATCTCTCAACGATCCGAAATGCAATTTACCCCACGTGTACATCGCTATAATGTAATATGTTTAGTCGCACGTAGTCGGTATTACTGTGCAAGCAACAATTTTGAAGGAGCAATATTACTCCAGCCTTTGTTTCAGAATTGTTCTACAATGCTCTCTCAACCTCTTTCGATAAATTTCTACGTGTGGTTCGTTCCTTTAAATTTATAATGAGGAACAAAGTTTAGAGAATTTATACAGTTATTTAAAGGCATGTAAAGGGGAACATAAACGTAAATTCATTGACACATAAGAGATCTTTACATTCCTTTAGAATGAGACTCAAACGTATGTTTCGTCTAATTATTTGTACAATGTTTACTTTGTCAGCTTGGCAAGGGTTTAAAAGTTTTACTCCAAATTGTTCTCTAAAGATACTCAATACCCTATTTACCAGAAAAATACTAAAGGATTGAAAAGAGTAATCAGGAAACGCCTTCTTTTTTATGATAGAACTCTTTCAAAGAAAATGACGAGTGTATCTCGAAATAGATTGTGAATCTTCATTGATATATGAATTACATTCATTTTTGATCTTTTGTATAAAAATAATTTCTCAACAACTTTACGTGTGACAGAAATGAACATTGATTGTAAAATATCACTAATTGACACCATTTTGATAACGAAGGAGATAATCAGAAAATGAGATTTCATTTAAAACAAATAAATATGAGATTATGAATTTGATTCTTGTTATTGATCTCAGTATTTAAATGCTCATTTACACTCGCCCAAGAAAATTGTATTGGTAGTTCCCAGGGATAGGCTTCCATTATACTACATCGAATTTCAATCTCGCACCCTAATTCTCCAATAACAATGAAAAACATTATTTTCTTGAGGACCTCTTTTCTCAGCGTGAACAAGGACCGACTATCACTTGCCTATGCTTGTTACTAGATCGACAAACACGTGCCATTGCTTGTTACTAGGTTGACATACACCTGTCAATGCTATTCAAAATATTTCTATGTAACATGCAAATATCGGTCAAAAGGTATTTCGAAGATAATTTTTAATCTGGAGTGGCAAATGGAACTACCCATCGATAAGTTTCTTGGACCTTCACGACGCGTATAGTGGGTTGCCTAACTCCCCAGGCGCCAGCCTGAGATAATTCAGCCGAATCTCAGTTCAGCTCTTACAAACAATAAATTCACACGGCGTTTATCTGAAACAATATTAATGGGAATTTTTAATGAAATAATGTATAAAATTTTGTTTTGCAGACTAAATAATTCGCGTTGTTGTTGCGAAAAATTACGTTACAACATGTTTTCTTATTTTCCAAGACATATTTTCATTGAAATCTGCGGCATTAGAATGCGAAGATTATATCCGACTGTGAGGAAATTTTGCAAAAAAAGCATTTTGAAAGTTTGGAGGTGTTTAACAATGTTACACAAAATGCTATGTCATTTTGATCACAGGTTTTCTACAAGCTGATTTGACAAGAGAATATGTTGCAACAATAAAGTCATACGAATATGTGAAAACATTCGTTTTCACAAAAAACCTGTTGTTTTGACTCTGTTAACCTCAAAAGGTATCTGAAAAACTTAGTTTAAAGTATTTTGACGAAGTATAGGATACATGAAGACAATTTCTTATCCTTATTCTTATTCTTTTTCGGACGTTTTCTAGCCGCCAGTCGGTGTTACCCTTTGCGTCCCGATGGGACGCATATTTGACCATGCGCTGGACATTAACACACTTTGCAGGCTCCTCTGATCTGTGGTCACCCAAACGCGATAACCTCCACGACAACACATACACGGGAGACAAGCGACAAACAACCATACCTAAGGCGGATCTCGAATACGCGACCCTTCAAACCGAGGCGCTGAGTCGGCAAACGCTCTAGCCACCTCGGCAATCTAGATCGGCTGAAGGCAATTTACGAGTGTTAAATTTAACGTATAAAATTTCACGTTTTCTCTAATACACGATGGCTGAGTCTGAAAGGGACAGCAGGAAGGGCTTTGGCCGCGAGGATCGAAGGTTCGGCCAGTGCGCGCGCGGTGGCGCTTGAGGCGAGGTGGAGCGGCCGCGGGCGGCGCCTAAAGTTAGCTCTGACTTCCTCTCGCTTCCTCCGGTGCTCTGCTCTTCCTGCCTTCCATCTGCTACTCTCCCCCGCCCCACTTATCCACTCTCCGCAGCCGCCGTCGGGTGGCGGTGGGATGGGGAAAGAGAGCGAGAAGGTTGGGCCTCACAGGAAAGTTTCTGGCAGGGCCTTTAGGATAAGGAGTCAAATGTGAATGGAACTTCATGATAGCGAAGTTCATTGATTTAGGAGCTTTGAAGTGGATAACTTTGTTAGAAGAGATACTCAATGAGGAGTACTACAAAGTAGGCAATTTGTTTAAAGTATGTGGCCAGGAAATATAAATTATTTCATTAATATCTGAGATGTCTAGGAATGACCAGAAAGCTGATTTTTTTTAAATTCAAGCACGTGCGACTGAAATTATCTAGGCTATGTTATTTGTCAACGCGACAGCAGTAGAGGGTGTACAAAAAGTGGGTTTTGAAGTGACCTTACTGAATAATAAATTAGAAATGAAAAACCATAATAGTAAACAGAGGTTAAAATGAAAAACAAAAGTTTAATAATTCATTTCTTATTTAAAAGCATTAGCTCATTACAGCATTAGCCAACTGGTCAGTAGTTAACTCATAATAAAAATATTATACAATTCAATTAAATAATAATAACAATAATAAACCGTTTGTCTTAAGATAATAAATACCACTTAATGAGTAAATTACCGATATAAATATGCACGAAGGAAACCAATATAAATAATAAAAAACAGATGGACAAAAACAGATAGTTTCCTAAATGACATCCTTTGCATTGCTTTATTAATCATGACTGTATCAGAAAGGATGTGTTGTAACATTCGTTAAAACAACAGTATTTGGCAGATGGTATTCATGTTATTTTTGCTATTACTCTTTGTAGGAAAATAATCCATTATAATGAATCATTTTTACTAAGTTTGTATATACATTATTTTCATAATTCTTCGATTCTCTCCCTGCCTCCCTCCCTCTGTCTTTCTCTCTCTGCCAATATGATTATATACGCCGTTTTTAACATGATTGTGTTTCGGATCAGAGATATCTTAGATCGGATCGGATCTTAGATCGGATCTTAGGGTGTTGGCCCGTTCTCCGTGATTCTGAGCAAATACTGAGATAACCTTTTTTTGCTTCTAGAGAACAAATATAGTTTTATTTCTCTTTAAATGTCAAGCAGAGTTTTTAATTGTCATTAGTATAAATAAAAAATATACGAGAATCCCAGAGTAAACAGATGATGTGGCTGTATTAAGCGAAACGTGCCCGGTGTCTCCTGTTATTACGTCACATCTCGATGTGGTGGAATCGAATAGAGCGTGTGACTATGCTTAGGGTCGCGTGACAAGAAACGCGTGCTACAAACTGGATATTTCTCCGGCAGGAAAATCGAACATGTAAGTAAATATTTAATTAGAAAGTTCAGAGAGGACTGGACTCTTCCTATGATGCAGCCTATGTGTGAGCTATAACGTGACATAAGGCTTTTACAGACAGCCATCCAGGTCCGGGTTTATGCACGGACCCAATTAAATCGGGGCCAAAGCATTCAATAGAGGGAGGAATCAGAAGAGTTGCCTCAAATCAACTTGATATTTAATGTAACAATAATATCACGTAACAGTCTTCTAATATTTTTCACGCGAAATATTGCAGTATCTCGACTTTTCATCCACTTTCTTTTTTTTTAAAAAAAAAGTAGGTGGATAAGCTGGTTTCGATCCGTATCACGACTAGTAGTAGAAATGCCCCACGCCTGCAAATCTCTCCCCTCCATTTCATCACGTCACAACTGTCGAATGCGTCTTTCATCACGCATCGGGGGAGGGGGAGGGGGATGTTGACATGTGTCGCGTGTGTTGCGCGCTGTTTACTTCGCTGAAGGAGGGGGCCAAAGTTGAGGAGCCCTAGGGCGCGGGAGCACTAAATCACGAGGCGCCGTGAGCAGGCCCGGGCCGCCGCCGCCCGCTGCGTTGGCAGCGCTGCCTCTGCGAGGGAGGAATGTGCCGCGCCGCGCACCCAGAGGAGACGGACGGCGCCGCCGAGGCACTTACGGCCCCGTGACGCTAATTGGCCCGTTTGCCCGCCACGCGGACCTCCAGCCCCATTCCCCCGTTAATAATGTTCTTTCGGTGGCGCGCGAGACACTTCACGTTGGACCACGCAGAGTTGGAATTCTTAAACTCTAGATAGGAAAAAAAGAATCATATTGATACTGCATTTCGAAGGATGGAGTAAGTCATAAAGACTGACAGGGCTTATAAAACCTCAGAATAAGAATTTCAATGTAAGTGTTGATTTTTTTAAACGAACTTTGAAAATGAAAATGATGAGAGGCTGTAATTTATTAACAGAGTTCCAATAATAATAACAACAGGGTTCCAAAGTA